TCGTGCTTATTATGATGTAGCGTGGTGTGCTCCCTCGAACGGCATCCATGAAAACCCTTCACACTCCATGTGGCGTTTCCTCCCCCTCCCCCTTGTGCTGGGAATGTTGACCAGAATATGTCGATGTTTCGTAGTCCTTTCCTGGGTCCTATAATAGTCTTCCTCTTGCCCCGTAAGATCCGTCTACTCTCTCACAGATTATATATTTCACTCGACTCCTGCCACACAATCTATGATGCTCGAGGCGTTATTTGCCCTCCCCCTGTGTCTGGGTTATTAATTCGAGGCTAAAAACTCAGTGTAAGTATATGGTCACTCATTTTCTACATGGACTACATTTATGGTAAAAACAGACCTGCTGTCAGCCCCCTAGCTCCTATCGCCGCCGCGTCTATCCTGTTTCTATCTCTAATACCAAGTCTATGACTTCCCATGCCCTAGTCTCTTGTGTATCAACCCACAAATGTTGTGGTACCTCTTGTTTTAATTTGGTTCAATGTTGAACCACAACGTTTGCGGGTTGGCCCACAAGAGACTATGGCATGGGAAGTCATAGACTTGGTATTAGAGATAGAAAGAGAATTGAAACAGTGAAAGCTAAAGCTGGTTGGTTAACAATAGTCGTAATTTCAGGATCACGTTTATGATCAAACACGTCTATTGTTAGCCAAATAGTTCTAGTCTCCACCGCGTCTTTCCTGTTTTTATCTATAATACCATGTCCATCGCTTCCTATGTACTAGTTTCTTGTGTTCCAACCCACAAATTTCGTGATTCTACTTGTTTTAACAAGGCTCATTGAAGACGCATCCTCTTTGCTTCTGATTCTTCCTTTTTCATCTCCTTGCGATCTCTTTTCCTAAAATAAAGGATATTCCCTTGTTCCAGTCGTCTTTTTTTTGCTGATCTTCCTGATGCCTGGTCTTCTCCGAGTTTGTTTAAGCAATATGCAAAGTTTTCGCTGATCCTGCCTTCTTTAAGTCTCCTGTTCATTAGATTTCTTTCAGTCAGTATATTAATGGCCTTTCGGATCTTGAGTTTTCTTAAATTTTCACCATATCCAGCCAAAATATCGGTCGATTTCTAGTCGATTTCATGCCTCGTCCGTGCAATGTGATCCACTATTTCTGATCTTTGTTTATCCATGTTCCTGCAAAGTCTTTGATGTTCCTTGATTCGTAGGCCGATTTTTCATCCTGTTTCACCGATATACTTTTGCTTACAGTTTCCGCATTTGATGCGATAAACTCCTGAACATTGAAGTCTATCCGTCTTCGCGTGTTGTGTTGGCAAACCGGTGAAAAGTGTCTTCTTCTCCTACATCATCTACTACATCAAAATAAGCGCGGTAAAATTGTGACAGGGAAGGTGTGATAGGATGATTTAGAAAATGTGAATAGCCCAGGGCAGAAGGGAAGATACCACAACTGTTAAGCACACGTTTGGTCAAAGGATCGGCTTCACTTGTCGCTTTGACGAGTTGTCGAATGGTGCTAAGAATGACGAGACTGACTGATGATACCGACTATGATGCCAGCGTAACGTCTGGAATCGTACTACCTCTACGGTTCAACTTTGGAAATGTTCATGCAGACAATGGACCCCGGACTAGTTGCGTTCCAATAAGTCTTCCTACCAATTAGACCATGTTGCGAAAACAAGGTCAAACAACCTCTATAAAAAATAATGATATCGCTGCCATTCACCCTAATCGAATAAGTGTTTGGTGAAATTACATAAAGTAGGGTGTTAAACAGGGATTTGAGGAAAATCAAAGGTCAGAACTTAACTATGCTATTTTGGAGTATAAACGAAAATACAAATATGTCATTAAAAATTCGCTAAAATAAAAACATGAAGTAAAAAAATTAATCTTTTAATTTAAGTTTTATAAAAAGGCATTAAAATTATAGTAAGTATTTGATAAAATTGATACATTAAATTCTTTTACTAATCTATATAATTTTTATTTATTGAACGAGCTATGTATGAGACTCATTCTAAGATAACGTGCATTAAGGATAAATATGCTCTTTTCCCTGAACATTTTACAATAAATAACACTTTTTTCTAACGTCAAGCAAGAAAAAAGTTTTTATCTGCAATAAAGTGGATGCCTTATTTGGAATTTTGTTAACACTCTTTTAATGTCATTATAAAATTAAAGCAAATTTGACCATACTTTTGA